CCGCTCACTGGCTGAGCGAGGTGCGGGCGCGACACCGAGGGTTGCGATCCCGTTGCCGGTCCCGGTCCGGTACGGGCGCGACACTGAGGGTTGCGATCCGTTGCCGGACACGAAAAAAGACAAAAAGGAAAATAATATATATATATATAAAGTCCTTGCACTTGAAGCACATTAGAATATAATTGGAAAGATTAACTAGGAGCAAATAATATCGGACAGAACATACAGAGTCACATCTTATTTGAAGTTTAGGTTCTAAAATGAAGGAGTAAAATCAAGGCAAAAACCATACGCAGTCAAAATTACCTTTAAATTCAAATCCATCAAACAGGAATCACTTTGGAGATACAAGTTTTTTCCCTTGTTAGTCAACCAATATTCCCTACAGCACCGACAGCTGTCTCTTTGGCTAACCATCAAATTAACTAGTTAATGTGAATATAAAGTCATGCTGCACCAAAATACCCATGTTCCAACTCTAGAACACGTGCTCACTTGGTGAAATGTTCACACCTGACACCAACACCAGATTCATTCTCCTGTTTACTCCATGAAATAATGGGAGGAGCTGCCCTTGTCATTTATATTACTTCATCTTTTTCTCAGATCCAAGTTGTTGCATTCACCTAAATTAAAGAAATTACAACTCCTTTTTAGGTAGATGAGCTGTTACAGTGAACACTTAATGAGGGATATGTCAACGACCGTGGCGTGACCAGCCTGACTGCCCTTTCCTGCTAAGCAGTCATGGAAAGTTAGGTGGATAGGTTCGGTGCAGGATGGGCTCAAGAGAAACCTTGACCTTTGTTAGGTGAACTGGACACAGAAAATCTAGACACGATTAAGTCAGTGAGAAGATCATTACAGTGAGAAGATCATTACAGTAAGAAGACTGAGGAGATTTGGATCCTGGCGGTAGGGGTTCATATTCCACATCTATTTTATTCTTAGAAGAAAATGAATCAGGGCATAATACCCCCAAATGGAAATAGGCTCACACAGCTACTTATAATGTGATTGCTGAATACATGATATGGGAGTGGTGGGGGGAATTAAGTGAGAAGAAAAAATATTATTGCAAGATGCAACAGAAGTAAGATATTTGCTCTCACAATGTGTCACTCCTTATGCCAGAAACCATTATTTTATGATGAGATTTCCAGAGTACAGTGATGTGATATGTGTTTAGTAGTAAACCAGCTTTGCAGCAAGGTACAAAATTTTAAGAGGCACACTTGAGATAGGTTGGGGAATCCTAGAAACAAGTGGTTCAAATATCGAGAGGCTGTACTTATGGAAAGGACAAGAACCAAAGATTTATAGCATAAACATGAACTCACTTTAAAATCCTTGAGGGAAATAAATATTGGGTGAAAGAATTACCAATTTATATATTTTCTTAAGACACTGGTATTTGTCGCTACTTATCTTGCCAAAAGCCAATGAACAGAAAGTTTTAGAAATAGCCAACCAAGCTACTGGTTAGCTGAAGTGTACAGGAATCTTATTTGAGGGAGGGGTGCATGGGCAAATCTGTGGCCTCCTTTCTGTGATTTTTATACTGCGAATATTTAATGTACCCATGTTTAAGGTAGAAAAACTATTTTCTTGATTTGTGTGATGGAATTTAAATATATCACTATTTCGTGGTGTTCCTTTCCACTAAGAAAAAGAAAAGAAAGATGATATATACATAACATCTATTAAATCTCAAAGTTTCTGGATGACGCACTCAGTTTTTTTAAGTTGTGAAATGCCAATGTCTCACAAA